TCATTCATAATTCATTGTAAGTTATAATTTCTAAGGTTATTTACTAATAAGTATTATTATTTGAAATTATAGGTATATAAAGTCAAGACACCAAGATACTATTATTTGATGTAATATTGTGTATACCGTAGGTTGTTTCGTGTCATTTTGGTTTTGATTTAATAGACAAATTTTGGTTCTTAATGGAATTTTTTCTTTGATGTAATACATTTTTTGGTATAATTTGATTCACAAATAAGTGTGTTGTTGTTTTTGGTCTGATACAATTAAGAAAAATTCAAGTTAGAAAATTGGGAATTCTGTAAAATAAAAAATAATATTAAAAAAATAAATAATTTCACAACGGTTGTTTAATACAACAAACAGTTTAATACAACAAACAACCGTTGTTATAGGTAGAGCACTATCCATAATATTAAACGCTAAAAATGGTGTTATTGGGTATCGAACCCAGGACCTATAAATTATTTCACAAAAAATGTTTAATACAAACGTTGTTATAGGTAGCATGCTATCTAGTTTAATACAACAAACAATAAACTGTTATTGTAAACTACACACTTACAATCAAACCCAACCTCACAATGATTGGTTAACAGTGATGGTATCTGATGGATGATATCCACAAGTATACGGAAAACGTCAAAGTAATACAAAAGATTATCGTTCCCACAAAGACCAATTGTCAATCTATCTATTACTATTGTTACGGTGTTTATCTAAACAAATCAAATAAGTATTTTGAGTGCACAGGAAAAGATATAATGAAGAAAATAAATTCAGATAAATTGCATGGTTAAATGTAATTCACATCAGTCAGGCAGTACTCCAATTGTTTCTAAATAGAAACTACTTATGGGGCAATGTTTTCTACTTTGGGAAGAATTAATTTAACAGGAAATGTCGCTTTCGCTGTATTCAGAACCGAGTTATTCTCTAATAATGCCCTCCATTGTCACTTATGAAAGGTGTTTGTCGCGTTAAGTAAACCCATTTTTAAGAAATTAAACTCATGACTCAGTTGAAAAGCTATTTTGATTTGGAAGTTTAACTTAAAAGGGGTCCATGGCTTTCACTCAATGAACCAGATTCTAAACCTATAAACGCGTCCGAAAATAGTTTCAAAATCGTTTTTCTAATAATGTTAAAAACTTCTAATTAACCAGACAAAGTGCTTTCACTATTTTTGACCAGTTAAAACTAACCAAGTTTATCTTTAAGAGTCGGACGACCTTCGATCTTACCCAACTATATCTCAGCTCTACTTTCGTAGTTATCGATAAAACTAAATACTGAAAACTTGTATTAAAATCCAAATAGTGTTTGCAGCGGTAAAGCGGCAAGCAAAAAGTAAGTTATTAATTTATCGGGTGATATTTATGTTATATCGTATCTTGTGCACAGAGATTGGTGAAATGAAATATCGTTCGACAAATCTCTTGTTAATGAATTTGTGGATAAATGGTTGAAAGAAAAAGTATCAACAAAAAATAACTATATGAAAGGAAAAAGGAATAACTTATCAAGCATGCATATATACCATGCATCACAGACTTAAGCCTATCGATCCTGTTATACTAAACCTACATTATTCATCAATGTCATCACATGTAAAACACAATATCTACTGTATCACTTCGGCAGCGACCTCTCAACCAACCTCAACAACACATAAGTCAATTATGCTTATTTGCATTGATGATCTCTCAGCGACACAAACAACACAAAGACATTAATCACGGACACCCTAAGTGAATAACAACACTAAATCTATCTCTAGAATTCAGACACTAATCATCCTAGATAAGAATTCAAGCAGTATATGTCTATAACAACTCAAATCCCTAGCACAAAGCAAAAATCAAGGATAACAATCGACAAAGATTTATAAAGCAAGTTTTATATAACGTCAAGGGCGAAAAATATACATGAGCTCGGAGAAAATATACATACAATACCCAACAAAAGAGAAATACAAAGAGATGAGAAGAGATAAACCATAAATCTTCTGGTTTGTCAGCATCGGCCGATGAGAAATTCACCTCCAATCATCCATAAGCAAAGCCCTAGTGTTATTTTCTAAGATAATCTAACAAAAATGAAGGTTGATGGAGTTGGGAGCAAAAACTTCCCCAAAACCATAATCTAAAAATGAAACTAAATTTGTTGTATGAAAACAAATCTCAGTAGACCATGCTAAGTGGGCCTAGCGTGCTAAGCGTGACTCCTTATTTTTACACATCAAACTGTCTTAAACCGCGCTAAGTGTGATATTCGTGCTAAGCGGGCTTCAAAACAATGCTTCTGCCAAAATGTCAAAATGCAAGCAGCTGTGCTACAAAATGCATTGAGCGCACTCGCGCTTAGAGGCCTTCTACGTGCTAGCGAGCTCTCCCTTGACAAAACTTACCAAAACTGGTCTTTTATTCTGAAAACGCGCATCCAGAGCCGTGCCTTCAACACTTTATTCCTCGATACTCCAAAATGCAACAAATACCTACAAAATGAATGGAAAAACATCAAATAGTACACTATGTACACAAAAACAAAAATTAACACAAACTAAACGCAGTTACACAAAAGTCGAGTTTATTCAATGATATTAATAACAAAGAGTCGATAAGTGCAACAAAAAGTATATACAAAAATAACTATGATTGCACTTATCAAATACACCCACTAAAGCATTTCTATAGATACAACATGTGGAGTATCCTCATAACGACGATCCTTACATTCTAGCCATTAAAGTTTTAGCCTGACATGAAAACATTAAATCAACATAGCAGAATAAATCATGTTGAAAAATAAGTGCTAGGTGTGCGGATGGTTTTCAAATGTAGAAGACGGTAAAGAAAATGCTTTAAAAATAAAGGTTTTTGCAAACTTAACAAGCAAGTAAATCGTGCGAGACAATAAACAAGTAAACAAAGAAAAATCAAGGAAATAAAATAAAGTAAAGCAAGTGCAACGTAAATAAAATGTAAATGCAAAAACTTGAATAAGAAACCTGCTCAAATCAGAGACTTTAATCTGGTAGAACTGGAAAGTAGAAGGAAAACTAGTACGCTTGAAAGTAAACTTTGACTGGAAAGTAAAATGGCGGCAAGATTACAAGCACGGTGCTCCAACCTAACTACAACTACGGTGCGATAATCCTCCGGTGTGACAAATTATCGCTTTTACAAATGTGAGTTTAGGTTTAGTATTGCAGACTAAGTTGGATGATCAAAAAAAGGAAATACGAAATGCCTATTTATAGAAAAAGAAAACCTCTGGAAATGACAAAACTGCCCTTCCTCCATCACGGAGTTAGATTCAACCACTCTTGAGTGGGACGAATTTACAGAAGATGGTGCCTGCCATCCCTACCTGGCGCTCGCCATATGAACACATGAAGAAGATTGTGTTTGCATGGTATTTGGCTTTGGTTGACATCTTACTGTCATGCCCCAAATTTTGCCTACCCTTAATTATATTCAAGTTTTCTTTTAAATAAATCGTATTATTTAGTTTTTACTTTTATAGGGGTATTTAACATCAAAGAAGGGTGTAAACAATCCAAAATGGACCATTAAACTCTAATAAGAGCCCATTTCTAATGAGGGGAGGTGTATTCTTTTAGAAGGTGAACAAGCTCTTTTAAATTAAGCCCATTTAGACTTTTGATGAAAAGAACAATCTGCTTTTTTTAAGGCCCATTTCCTTTTTGAGAAAAAAAGTTGTTTTTTATATATTATATATCTATATATATATATATATATATAATATATATATATATATATTACTATATATATATATATATATATATATATATATATATATATATATTATATATATATATATTATATAATATATATATATATATATATATATATATATATATATATATATAATATATATATATATATATAATTATATATATATATTTTATATATATATATTATATATATATAGTATATATATAATATAATATATATATATATATATATATATATATATATATATATAATAATATATATATATATATATATATATATATATATATATATATATATATATATATATATATATATATATATATATAATATATATATATATAATATATATATATATATATATATATATATATATATATATATATATATATATATATTAGAATGATTTCTTTTTTATTTTTAAAAGGAGGCGGGCTATAAAAAAAAACCTTTTAGATAAGTCCATTTGGATTTGTTTGGTTGCTGTTTTCATTTAGTCAATAACAAAGATCTATTACAATTTCTTTTTCTACCTCAAAAAGACTGTTTTTGTAGTCTATGTTATTTTCACAAACTTTACTGATTTTATTTAAACTTGGTTATTTTTGTTTTATCATTTTAATAAACAAAAAGGCCTCTTAAACCACCACTATCCCATTGCAAATGTTTTTTATTTACTTGTTTTTGAAGAAAAAAACTATTTTCTTTTTTATATTATATATCATTCAGCTTTGTTTAAATGTTTAAAATGATTTTTTACAAGGTCCAAAACTAGCGTTTTTTGTCTCCAAACAAGCTTATGGCCCAAGTAAACAAAGCATCTGACCCAAACCAATACACAAACACGTACTGTAGAGATTATCCGCGCGCGTGTGTAAAAGAAAACATATTATTCAGCAATTAAAATACAGAAACAAAGCAGTAAATTGAAGAAAACATATCAAGCCAAATCTGGAAGCAAATTCAAATTGCAGAATACAATATCATTACAGCGTTCGATTTTACAGACATAAGTCAAATAACTTCCTAAATTGATAAACCCTAAATCAATACAAGATTAAAACTACAAGACTAATTCATTAGTTCCCTAATTCATTTTTACCTAAAAGACTGTAAATTGGTAATTACAGTAAGGAAGAAAGAGAGAGAAAAAACAGGAAGAGAAGAAAAGCAGTAAAGAAAAAATACAAATCATTTTTTACAGTGGAGCATTTCTTCTCCCGGTCTCCACCCTCACCGTTATCACAGACCACCGTTCGTGACACCATCGTCACCACCACTGTTACCTGCCAAAAACGGAAGAAAGAGAGAAGGTTAGAGTGAGGCCGAAGATCGGAGGTTCAAGAGGCTATGGTAAAGCTTATCTTTTTTTTTCGCGATTTCGTTTTGTGGTTTGCCTTTGATTTGAGGTTTTGAATGTTGGTTGATGGGGGGAAGATGATAGTGCCTCCGCGTTAGGATTACGGATCTGGGATGAGAGGTGGATGCTATTTTTTGGTTAGGGTTTGGAGAAGAATAGGGAGTGACGGACGGAACAAAGAAAGAAGGAGGTGGAGTGTTTAAGACAAAGTAACCCTTTTGTTTGTAAAAAAGGGAAAATGTGTTCTTCATCTAAGCGATCCGACCCGGCCCACCCTCTTGTTGATTTTCTTTTTTTTTTTACATATTAGGATATAAACCTCCGGACCCTTTTTGAAACACACCTCCCTTTTTTTTATTTACTATTAATATATTTAAAACACACACCCTGCCTTTTGGGCCTGAATTCAAAATCTGAATTCAGGCCCTTTCTATCTAAACCTCACTAATTTATTTTTATTTACCATTTTCTTTTATAAATTTATTTATTTATTTATTCTGTATTTACATATATTTATATTTATATTTATATTTATATTTATATTTATATTTATATTTATATTTATATTTATATTTGAATAATTATAATATTATATATTACTTATTATTATAAATAATTAATTATTTTAGATTTAATTAAAATGTACAATACTACTTATTTATATTAGATTATATATTTTAATCATACGCTTAAAATTAACTTTCGCAACCTAATTTATTTTAATATTTTATATCAAAATAGTAAAACTCGCGATTCACCGAATTACTACATTCGCAAGTGACACGTGGCCAATATCTGGCTCTGGCCACGTGATGAGGAGGCTATATCAGACTCCTTCGCTATGCGTATAAAAAAATTCAACCAAACACCAATCTTTTTTTTGCAAATTAAATCAATTCGAACAATTGATTTTTGAAAAAGAATACAAATATATTTAAATTAATTGCGTATTTGGTTTAACAAACTCCGCTACTCATACTCTTAGACCACGTATGCGGGAAATTCAAAATATATTTCGCAATCCATAAAAAACACAAACCCACCGCGAACTACGAATTGAGACTCTGATTCCTCCTAAAAGGATACGCAGGCATACGATCGAAAATCATGGTGAGTCCTACTAAATAAGACTCAAACCCTTTTTCCCAATAATAATTAAAAACCCTATTTCCTAAGATCGCGCTTTTAAACATAGTATCCTTGTGAACAAGGTAGATGAAGGGTGCCTAACACCTTCCCTTCGTCTAGAACCGAGTCCAAATCTAGAATCTCTATAACTTTTAGGGTTCTTCCTTTATACTCCCTTCCTTTAGGATAAAAATTAAGAGTGGCGACTCTGATTTAAAAACCAGTTGCAACAGCTGGCGACTTAACCCTAGATTTAGAAGCCTTGTCCTGTAGTTTTAGGGTTTTTAAGGGTCTCTTGTTTTTGGGTTTCTTATATTTATTTAATTGTTGTATATTTATTTTATTTATTTACTTATTTATTTTCTTGCTTATTCTTATTATTCATTATATTTATATGTCTGTGGCGGGATTTTAATTTTTGCAAAAAAATATTTTCAAAAACCCTTAAAAAGAAGGTTTGTCTATTATTCAAGGGGATACATCATCCCTATATGTTAATGTGACGACTTCGCCTAGAGTCAGTAGAATTCCACAAAAGAAATACGTCTCAAGAGACATCCTCTTGGGAAGTAGGACTTTGGAATGACTCATATGGCTCTTTTTATAAATCTAAAACTAAAATCTTATGATGAGACCTTTCACGACCTAGAGACGGAAGTTTCGGTCTGCAAAGAGACTCCGCTTAAGGAAGGCCCTCGCGCCTTTCCATTTAGTGTTATTCATGATACCCTTAAGGAAACCACCTTGAGGGGAGGGTAGAATATCCATAAAACCAAGCTAAGAGCCTACCTTCTAAGGGTTATTATTCATTAAATCCCGTCGTTTAACCTTTTACTCATATATTCATGCATCTCTACATTTCACATGTTCATCATACATCATTTGCTTTTGTTTGTCTTATTCGCAGGGGACAAAGGAATATATATATATATATATATATATATATATATATATATATATATATATATATATATATATATATATATATATATATATATATATATATATATATATATATATATATATATATATATATATATATATATATATATATATATATATATATATATATATATATATATATATATAGGGAGTAAAGGTTTTTTGTGTGAGTATCTGAAAATGCATGCTAAAGGAAAACAGCTCGTTCGTATCAATGCTACCAAGCCAGAGGTGACTCAAATCAAAGCTGTAAAGGAAATATCATCTGAAAGGGCCATGAAAACATTTACTCATCGCAAAGGGGATATCTTGGATTTAGCCAAAGTTGAAGTGCAGTTGGATGCTATTTCTGCTCTAGTACAGTTCTATGATCCTCCATTGAGATGTTTCACATTTCAAGATTTCCAGTTAGCGCCGACCTTAGAGGAACTGGATAGAATTATGAACTTCTCTAGGAATAGCTAGGTATTTGGGTCCTAAGAAGTCCCATATGAAGAACTAAATCATCCTTGCAGCTTGATCCTCTTGATCTTTTCTTTGTAAAAATTTTCCATCTCAATCTTCTCTTTGACCAACAAATCAACAAATTTCTTCCAAGCATAGTGAACGGGACCAACATCTATCAAATCTTCATGTTTCCTCTTCTTTTCCTTAGCACACTGCTTGAGAAAACCGTCCTTTCGGCGAAGCTTCTCGTCCTGTTCCACAAGCCAATCATCTTGAAGAAAAAGTACATCCTCTTTGTCTTTCAACTATCTATTTAAATCCTTTTTTCATACTTCTAGATGTGATATTTTCCTTCCAGAGTATCTCTTTCTAATCTCATCCTAACCAAAATTTCTTGATACTTCTCAATTTTTCAATGGGAATGATTAAAGACGAAGGTGTGACTGCCGGTTGAAAAGGATTTTCAAGGGAGTAAGGCATTTAAAGGCAATGCAAATTTTTTCCCCAACCAATCTTCACCCTTCCTATGAATCTTCCTCCAAGCATCCACAGTCTCCTCCTTCAAATCTAGATTATCCTCCTCATTAAGGTAAAAGAAACTTGATAACATAATATTATCGGGTTTGTCCTTCACAGGGTATCCGAACTGGCGCCTAGTAAGAATAGGGTTATAGTTGATCCCTCCTTTTATACCAAGAAGAGGTACATTAGGAAAACTACCACAACTGTCAATGATCACTCCCTTGTTATAAGATGGGATATACCATGTTAAATCTGCTTGAGTAATGGATATAAGCCTTTGGGAAAATCTAAGCTTCTTTGGATTCTCTTTGAAGAGACGAGAATGTGATAAGTGTGAATTAATCCACTTTTACAGTAAAGGTGCACAACATGTGAGAGTTCCATATCCTTTTTCAGTTCTATGATGAATAAAGTGGTAGGCATCTCCAAGCAAAGTAGGCATTGGGTTACCGATCAAGAATATATGAATAACATTAATATCAACAAAATGGTCAATGTTTGGGAAGAGCACATGGCCATAAATGAGTAAAGCAATAGTTGCTTCAAAAGCATCCCTACTATTTGCTTTGCCTAAGACAATAGCCTTTTCCATCAAGAATTTGGAAGTCAAACCTTGAAAACCTTTTCTGAAAGTGAGATTTGCTTTTACCTCAGACGTCTCTAATTGAAGGACTTTAGCAATAACAAGGGGGCTTGGGTACCTCTTCAAAACCACTGAAAGGAAAATCAATCCAAAAAGAGTACTCTTATAAGGTAGGAACCAACTGATAATCGGGGAATGTGAAGAAATGGTAAAGGGAATCATAGAACTAAACAAGGATTTCAAGAATTCCATCTGGCACTTTAACTTGAAGAATACTCAAAAGCCTTCCATAAAGTTTAATGAAATCTTCATGGTTAGCTACCAAAGACCCTAGCTTTCTTAACTCCCATAGCTCTGGACTTTTGAAATCGTACTTCTTAGTGTTCCTGTTTCTGAGATCCATGATCTCAAATCCTATTTATATTTGCAAAGAGAATTTATAAGTTCCTTGAAAACCAAGTGAAAAAAGTTTTTATTTTATTTTTTATTTTATGAATGCATGGTAATCAAATAATCATGATTCAAGGGTTTAACATCACGAGCATGGAGTCATAGGTAAGAACCATCCCACAAGATATGTACTATGGGTTTATTTGTACATGTAGAATAAGATTCTAAAAGTTCTCAGAGTCATGATTTCTCTTTCGGATATTACTGATTCACACAACTACTTATGAGTACCAATATTATTCTCAAGAAAAACTCACCCGAGCGTAGTATCGTGTAACGACTAATTCAAAACTACTTTTGAATTGTCACCGCATTACATCCTAAAGGCCAAGATGGGTAAATGGGTTCTACGGTTCTCAGCTTCTCGGGCTCTTAGGTTGAAAATAATAATGCTTTAACAATTGGCTTGTTTAGAATTATCACCCCCAAAGAGGCCTCCACTGAGTGGGGTTATCATATGCTACTTATGTAAGGATTACTCCAGTCATATAACTTTTGATTATACCACCATCCTAATTTCTTAAGTGTAACTAGTCCGGGTGTAGGACTTGTCTTTTGTAAAAATCATTAATCACCCCCTCCAAAGAACCACAAAACATCGCATATAACAAACAAACAATAATAATAACAAACGGATAAAATAAGCTAGGCTTAACTCTCTTGAGGTTATATGTCCACGGTGAAGTCGCCATTTCTGTCACGGCGAAAAATCGAGAAGACCAAGTTATTGAGAAACTTGACTCACAATTGTATCCCAAAATTTTCCCTCTTATTTATAGACCAAGAATATCTTATGCTTCATCATCACATACATCATTTGCATTGCATTGAGTCAATGATATGGGATCAATGGTTTTGACTGTGTGACTGTATACCACATAAAGAGAAGAAATTAGATTTTCAAGGGTTGAGTATTTGAAATCTCTCCATCAATAAACATCATCTGAATGCATAAGATGTGTGGGTTCAAGAAATTTCTAGACAACCTCAAAGGAATTAGGGTTTGAAGCTCTGATTAACTCTTCTTACATTGTGGTTACCAATTAGGGTTTTTGATAACTGGCATGTTATGACTGAATCTTTCAATTTAAAATGGTTCCATGGTCTTCTGTTGATCTTAAAGCATCCACATATGGTCTATTGATCTTCACATTTCATTAGATGGTCAACAATGATTGA